AGCCGCGGAAGATAGCTGAATTATCTCGTCAAGTTGCTGAAGAGATGGATGTTGTACTTGGGGAAGAAGTTGGATATAGAACTTGGTTTGAAGACTGTACTAGTGGAACAACTATCTTGGGGTATGTACATACATTTTTTTTTGGAACTTTCTTAATTCAGATACACACTTACAAATTTGTATTCCCCTTTGGCAGGTACTTATCAGATTGCGTCCTTTGAAGGAAGCAATAGATGACCCACTGTTGGAAAAATACCAAGTTATAATTCTAGACGAAGTTCATGAAAGGAGTTTGGTCGCAGATGCTCTATTGGGGTATCTTAATATAGTTTTGAAAAAAAGACCGGACCTCAAGCTGGTGGTTATGGGTGCCACACTTGAGGTTGATAAGTTTCAGAGTTACTTTGATGGTGCAGCTATAGTGGAAGCTCCCGGAAGGTTTAATCCAGTGCAAATAGTCTACATGCAAGACCCAATTGAAGACTATATTGAAGCTGCCATCTTGATTGTGCTGCAGATACATTTGAGTGAACCTCCTGGCGGCATTCTTGTTTTCCTTATGGGAGAAGATGAGATAGAATATGTTTGTCAAGAAATTACAAGGCGAGTGTAAAGCCGGAAACATTTTCCTGGTTGTGTGCGTCCAGCACATTGTGCTCTCCAGTGGGCACTTCCCTTGGAAATAGGAGACACCAACAAAGATTCAATATTGTTCCTTTGGGTTAAAAATCTTTTGCTTTGCCAATCCCGAGTCAACCACATAAACAACGCCATCAATTGTGAAGGACCTTTCGGCAATGTTTGTAGACACGACAACCTTCCTGCTAGCTGGATCAACCTCCACCAACGGAGGGGAAGGTTCGAAAACCTTAAGCTGCCTAGCTAAGGGAGTCTTCGAATGAAGAGGCAGAACATGAACATGCCCCACTTCCTCACCCAATTCACTTATTCGTCTTGTAATTTCCTTGTAATTTCTTGACAGGCATATTCTATCTATCTTCTCCCGTGGGGCCTGTTCATGTACTGCATCTTAATTTAAAGACTCCCCTAGCTAGGTAACTTAAGGTTTTCGAACCTTCCCCTCCGTTGGTGGAGGTTGGTCCAGCTGGCAGGAAGGTTGTTGTGTCTACAAACATTGCCGAAAGGTCCTTCACAATTGATGGCGTTGTTTATGTGGTTGACTCGGGATTGGCAAAGCAAAAGATTTTTAACCCAAGGAATAATATTGAATCTTTGTTGGTGTCTCCTATTTCCAAGGGAAGTGCCCACCGGAGAGCACAATGTGCTGGACGCACACAACCAGGGAAATGCTTCTGGCTTTACACCGAGGGAAGTTTCAATGGGTTGAAACTGCAGATCTACCCAGAAATGTGTCTTTCGAACCTAGCTACAATGTGCCTAACTTTGATGAGGCTAGGTGTTCATGACCTGGTCCATTTTGATTATATGGACCCTCCTGCCCCTGCGACCTTGATTAGAGCACTGGATGAATTAAACTACTTGGGTGCATTAGATGATGAAGGAAACTTGACCGAGTTGGGTGAGACTATGAGCGCATTTCCTCTTCATCCAGAAATGGCGAAAATGCTTACTGTCAGCCCTCAGTTCAAATGCTCCAGTGAGATTCTTTCAATTTGTTCCATGCTCTCAGGTACTATATCTTGCCTCCTTATTGTTGGTTCAAAGGTTGAGAATTCTTTTTTCTATCGATTGATAAAGCTAGTATCTTTTTTTTGCTTCATTCTCTACTTGGTGATTGATTCTTCCTTCCTTCTATGTTTGATTTACTAAAAAACCTTATGTTTTTCCTCTAGTACCCTGTTGTTTTTTCCAGCCCAAGGAAGCTCTGAAAGCTGCAGATGAGGCAAAGGGTCGTTTTAATCACATAGAAGGCGATCATTTTGCTTTGCTGAATCTATATAAGGCCTTCAAGAGAAATGGTGAGTTTTTTAACCCAATATCTACAGCACTTTTCTATTTCAATTAAGAAAGTCATTATTTCTATGTTCTAATAGGCAATTTTTCCTGATTGCAGAGGTTCCTCAGTGGTACTATACCAGTTTTATCAATCTTAGGGTCCTACAAACTGCAGAAAAAGTGAGGCAAAATATTTCATGAATAATGGGCAGTTTGGGACTAACATTGTACAGCACAGAGTCCAACAGCCGTGACTACTGTGCAAATATAAAGAAGGCCCTGGTAGCTGGATCTTTCATGCGGGTTGCCCATCTCGAACGGATTGGTCATTATTTGACTGTGAAAGACAATCAAGTAAGTGTGCAGGCAACATCCTTTTTTGAGATATAAATGTGATAATTAAACATTACTGCAGTGCTTTTACTTTTGGAAACTTCGTTTTTTTGAATTCAAATGTAAGAGAGCCTTCACATGTATATATACAAAAATTTTGCAGAGGTTCACTTGCATCCTTCAGTATGCCTGGATGACAAGCCAGAATGGGTTATCTATGAAAAAGTGTATCTTGACCACTAGGATTTTCGTCCATACTGTGACACGCATTCGTGGTGAATGGTAAATTTTGCTTTTTATGTGCTTAGTGCACCGGGCTGCCCTTAGTGAAAAGATCCTTGTGGTCCGGCCCTTCTCCGGACCCCGCGCATAGCAGAAGCTAAAGCTCCCCGGGCTGCCCTTTTTATGTACTTATCTTTAAACTGCAGCACTGTTATAAATTGACTTGTTAATTTAATTTCTTTTGTGCAATTGACATTTTGTTCAGGTTGATTGATATTGCACCGGAGTATTACGATTTTACAAATTATCCAGAATGTGATGCAAAGCGGGTACTTGAGTTGCTCTACAAGAAGCGGCACAAAGAAAAAGTCAAAAGCAAGAGCAAACACTAATATAGTTGCTGGGTATGCATTTCTTGCTCTTTATCGTGTAAAAAGAGGCATAAGTAGTCTTGGTTTTTATCGTGTAAAAAGAGGCATAAGTAAAATAGTTATTAAAAGAATGTTTAAGTTGCAGCTCAAAGAAAATGAATACTATCTTCTCTAATAATAATATTGATAGAACAAATTAGCTTAATCAAAATTACAATAAATTAGTCAAATGACTCTATATAAATATGTCTTAAACGCGTTATGTATAGTTGTAGCCTGTAGGTAAGGTCCTTGTCTTTTCTTATGCATACCGTTGGAGTTATAATATGTGAATTACAGCTCAACTCTTAACAAAGTCTTGAATTGTAGTCAAATTGTTTTCCTTGGATAAACTGTACTTGTGAAAACTTCTGATATGGAAGTCCTTAAAGAAACTGTTATTTCTCTAATTTGTGATAATTGGGCTAGATTTTTTTAATACTTCGATTTTGAGTTCGTAGAATTTAAGTAGTGCTACTCTTTTTTTTTGGTAATAAGTAATGTTACTCTTCTTCTTGTCTTTCTTTTCAGTAATGTGGTGGTTATGCTTTCCTGAGCCGAGGGCCTAATGGCAACAACCTCTCTATCTTCACAAGGTAGGGGTAAGGTCTGCGTACGCATTACCCTCCCTAAACCCCACTATATTGGATTCTACTGTGTATGTTGTTATTGTTAAGTAATGTTACTCTTGATATTAACAGCTTTACATGTTTACGTTATAAATTAAATCTTGTGAGACATATGATATGCCATCGTTCATTTACTTAGAATTAGTTACTATGATGTGCAGTAGCCTGTGATTATTATTCATTACATTTAAGAATGTCTTTAATTTGTAGGTCTCATTTTTCCAATTTCCGTAGTTGCTGATGGAGTTGTATATAGATAATGTGACTTCCACTGTCAAGATCAAACCTGTTTCTGAAATTTTGCTACAGATAATAACAGACTAAATGTGATACAAGAGCAGCAAAAGTTTATCATCTTTTTGCCCTTTGCTGCAAGTAGTATTGCCTTTGTCTCATTTGTGTACATGCGTATAGCTTAAAGAATGCTTTCGACATGAGAGATTCAGACGTTTTTGCCTATTTATCGGTTGCTTCTTTATTTTAGGTGACACTAGATTTTGCATATAAGACGGGTTGTAGAGTATTTCATAAGTCAGCTACAACAAGGTAGTGCAAAGTGTTGCACATAGTGAATAGGCTGTGGCTTCAAAATCCCGAATCTAAGTCTTGCTTATGAGTCAAGTGTTTTGCCAAATAAACTTCAAATTTATTTTGGCAAAATTTATGGCCAAACGGGTTCTTAGAGTATTTCATAAGTCAGCTACAACAAGGTAGTGCAAAGTGTTGCACATAGTGAATAGGTTGTGGCTTCGAAATCCCGAATCTAAGTCTTGCTTATGAGTCAAGTGTTTTGCCAAATAAACTTCAAATTTATTTTGGCAAAATTTATGGCCAAACGGGTCCTTAGAGTATTTCATAAGTTACATAGTAAACATTGCCCGTGGCGAATAAGTTAGTTCAAAGTCGGCTAATTTTGGCATATGAGGTAAGAGTTGTAGAGTATCTCATAAGTTAAACTAGTTGAGTCCTGACAGCTCGGGCCCAACAACTCGAATCGTAATCTCCATTCATTACAAATGTTCAATGTCTTTTATTCCTCTTGATAAAAAGAAAATTTGAACCTAGAAGCTTAGAGATTGTGACGAATTTTTTAGTCGTTTTATCCTTTCCTACCAATTGTGATTCATAGTATTTTCGAAATTAAAAAGAAGCAAATTTATGAAATAAAAAATTAAGAATAATTTAAAAATAATTGAGTCTACATAACATGACAAAAATAATCAACCCTGAACATCATGTCGGGGTAAAGTTGGAAACAATATTGTAATCCTTAATATAGATGTCAAAGATGGTTGTTGACGAACATTAAAAAATATTAACATTCAGTCCTTTAAAGACGCGAAGATTTGAGTAGCTTCTATTTATAGCTCCAATACTACCTTTGTTCTCAACAAATTTAGCTCTTATATACCAAACCCTATTTTGCAAGTCTATGTAAGCAATCAAATTTGTAATTATGGTATACCAAATAAGTGCAATAACCATGTCATAAGTATAAATTTAGACGTGCAGAGAGCTATATTTTTTAAAAGAATCCAAGGATAAACTATGCTAAACTTTGCCGCTACTGATGCCAAATCATCACACATGCACTATCATCAGGGTAGGAGACATTATTAGCAAAGTTCATCTAACGTTAACTACAGATCTTTAATGAAAAATGTCACCGCCGTCTATCAAATTCTGAAGAAAAGAAAAAGTAAAAACCATGTAGAGAAGATGAAGCAAAAACCTGCTCTATGTCCTCACTTTGTTGCTGAGTTGATTATTAACAAATGCCAGAATAGCAGTGAGGGTGCCTAAATTCCACAGACATGGTTGGTTATTGATCATGACACCATTTGCTACTTCAAGGAACATGTGTGGTATAGATGCGCTACAGGTGGGAACCAATAGTGAATAAGATAACTTGCTTTCCTGCAAGGAGGCTGAAGAACTTCACAGAGGCCTACATTAGCGAAGGCTTTTGAGATAATACTATTGGAAAAACAAACTTGGAGGGTACAGAATTGTCATGGGCTTGCAGTCGAACTACCTTTGTTGGACTTGTGTAGAGAGAACATTATAGCTTTGGTCGACGAACCAGCTTGCTGCTAACCTTGTGGTTTGTGGCAGATTCAGTTATGCGACTTATAGGCTGGCCTGCCGTTCAATTCTTGTCTTACAATGTGGTGATATCTAGCATCTAGTGGTACTATTGGTCCAAAAATTCTTTTTCTCTTACAATAGATAGTAGTACTGGTGGCTTCTTCTTTGAATGGAACTCTTTTCCTTACACTTCACATAGCAGTCATATGCATGAATATATTCTGCAGACAACCTGTCCAAGTAGTAACCACCATAAGCACATCTTCCGGCACTTGGGTAGAGAACATTTATCAAGAAATTTCATTGATCTATATTAAGGGCATCCATAATTTTCAAGTAAATTGGATAAAAGACTAAGCGTGATTTACGTGAACCTCAGTTTGCAGAGCCAAAAAGATTATCTTGGAGTAGTTATTTTTCAGCTTTAACAATTAAGGAAAACCCTTACAAATAAGCAGGTATAAGATCGGTGTCCCTCCTGGACTATAAGCACCAATATTGTCTGAAATTTAATGCATCAAAAAGGAATATGCAGAGCATTTCTAACTTTAAATCAAAAGGTATATTAGAGCAGGAAAAAAGGATAAAAATCAGAAATATACAACCAATATGAAGGTATTTATATGAACATTTACACACTTGTAAGTACTTTATAAAGAAATTATAGTAATTGGAAACCATATTATCTAATGAGCCACCCATATATCACTATCANTACACACTTGTAAACCAATATGACAGATTGCTCCGGAAATTAGTAAGCTTACCAGCATGGAAGAAAATAACTTAGTATTAGAAGCAATATATCATCAATTAAACCCAAAAAGAAGAATCATATTTCATTTATATCATGAAAATAGAGAGGCAAGCAAGAAGTTCAAATATCACAAGTATTTAGTCACCATTTAGTCTTATTACACACTATAAGTTTAGGGTATCTTGCACCCATAAAAAAAAGTTTCATGGCATCTGGAAGAAAGAAAAGAAAAGAAAATTCTCTTTAATTAGTTAAATTCGTATTAGGTTATTATTTTTGTCCAAATAAGCAACCACAACCAAGATTATTTATATGCAACCGTCATTGCATAAATAGCTTCAAACATCATACTTTAATAGTCCTTAAATTCTTTTCTAGTAACAACCATTGTAGTAAATAAAAAGATTTATTCACAAGTAGACATAAGCAATTGAGTCAATTCGCATGACATTTATCCTTCACGGTTTGTCATATGGCCAGACCATAATGAATTGCATCATTATTGGTTTGTTTGTTTTTATTCACAGGAGAAGCACATTCTTTAGAAGGCTAAATATTTTCTTGCTTGTATATTACTCTGTCATATTAGTATCATCTCTTACTATAGCCTTTTATAAGATACGAAGGTAAAAGAATGAATTCAACAGTGTTTATGTAAAACACTATACATATGCATCTCTCATTATCCATTACTTAAAAATTTGTTGGCAGAGTCCTCATCTTATAAACAGAATTTGGAATGAAAGACGCAACATATGACTCTTTAATGGAAGCTTTAAGGAATTTCTATTACAAAATAGTTATTATTACAAATTCATCAGATTGACTTGAAGCCAGTAAGATAGCTACTAAAGTAGAAATTTTAATTTCGCGATCTTCAGGAATCAGAATATTGTAGAGTTTTGAAGTAGCTATTAAGCTTGGGGGAAAAAAAGAGGAGAAAGAAAGAAGCAAACTTTTTTCCTCAAGTGCAGTCTGCAAGCGCAATGCAATTAACACTGACCATGAATCTGGATTTACCTCTTGCAGACATATCATCAAACACCATAGATGTATAGTCAACTTCAACATTCCTGTTATTTTTTAAATCAAATTTTTCGGTTTAAATCTGCGCTAAACAGTTAGTAATAAAGACAAAATTCATTAAAAAGACAAAATGATGTGCAAATAAGACATAACTAGTAATATGCATGTAAAATTCTAGCAAGACAGTATTCAAATAGAATAGCAAACTACGATATAGACACGAAATTATTTTATTACAAATAAAAAAAGTACAATAAACTAAAAACAGTAAATAACTCTAGAAATAAAGAGGCCACATCAAATATAAACAAAGGAAAAATGGATAGACTCATGAGATCTATGAAAGAATATAGACCCATAAAAACACATATGTTATATTACAATCACTCGGCCGAACATGTACACATCAACACTCTTAATCCAATAAACAAATCAATTTTAAGTATTGTCAGAATTCTACACCAAAGCCACCATCATAGCCTATAAACAAATTCACCGAACTGAACAAAATAAATTACACAACAGAGATAACATACAACTAAAATAGAGAATTTAGAAATTTAAAAAAAAATCCCCAATCAAAGATGGACATGCATGAGTTTTATTGTACAAATAGGAAGGGAGAGCAATAAATGCAGAGTTAAAAGGACTATTTGTCACTGGTACATCTAGGAACACGCGTATTACACGTGTTTATTCAACAATCACTTAAGCCCAACACTATAGTACATTTTATGTTGCTCTTCGTACAACTTTTTAATGCTATGTTCGTACACTTGAACTCCCATTTCTAAATAGTAGTAATAGTAATACAGTGAGCTAGTGTAAAATGTTGCCTTTGTAGCACAACTTGTGGACCAGTAATATTGGACGAATACATCAACAATATTCTTCAATGTTCATCATGTTTTTGCTCAAAACTTTCAGTTTAACTTCCTCAGTTCTTCACTAAATGTACTAAAATTCAATCATAGATTCCTATACAAGCCGAGCAAACCCCAATGGCATGGATCAAGCTTCAATAATTCACAAAATCCAATTGTATGTTCTTGGAAAGCTTCAAACTCTTAGAATGGTGGAATTTTGTTTCTTCCAATTAAATTCGCTAATTTCAATGTTGAAATAACAATCCAAATATCAAGCAAATTACACGTGGTCAACACCAAGAAGTTAATTAAATTCTCACTTTAGTATTTATTGAAATCATTCCTTTTATACATTAAACAATAAATAATGAAATTCATTGAAATAAGATGATGTCTTTAACAAACTTGATATTCAATAATCTCATAATCATCCCAAAACCCGGTGTCATAAGTGCATGAGCTGTTTTTAGGAAATCAAATGAAGTGCAATAACTGTCCGGAATACAAATTGGACAAGGTAAATACTATTCATTGGGAGACTATACCGGCTGCGGATTGCCTCGAGAGATGCAGCTCACCTAAGTCTCCGTATCATCCATGCTGCTACGCCCATTAGGCCGCTAGGGGTACATGCGCCCGTGCAACAAAAATGCACAACAAGTGTAGCATGAGTACAAAAACAACGTGTACTCAGTAAGTATCCCGTCTAATCTCGAAGAAGTTAAGACGAGAGGTCGACTTCGACACTTACTAGTAGTCCAATAATAATATACCAATAATATAGTAAATCGAGGGTTTTTCTAAAAATGGTTATAACTCAATAGCATGAAGCAAGTAAACAATTCTCTTATTCATAGGGAAATTTCCAAATTCATTTTCATCATTTATACGTTTATCTCAGTCCAGAGAGAAATAAATATCAACATCTACGAATTTCAAGGCAAGCAATACAAGCATGTGCAAATCATGTTGAAGTCGTACGGCCCGATCCAACAAATATTTAAATTGTGCACTGCCAGAGGGTCGAATGGTGCGAACCATAGATGCATCTATTACCCCACTCGCGAATCATACATGCGACACGGTCAAATATAAATAAACAATCATCCCGCTCGCGAATCATACATGCGACGCAGGTACATATAGAAACACGCATTCAAACAGTCAATCAAAACTTCATCAGAGAAAAACAATTACCCAAAAAAATAGCAGTTCTCTTTAACAGTCAAGAAAATGATGTTTAATTCCTTTAGAAATTCATTTACCAATTCAATATGATTTAAGCATTTTAAATCGACAACAAGATTCCAAATATTTCAAGTAGAGCATGCTTTTGGGTCCTAGACTACCCGGACTTATGCATAATAGTAGCTACGCACTGACTCTCGTCACCTTGTGCTTACGTAGCCCCCACAAATAGGAGCACATATCCAATTAATTCACATATGGGGAGAATTCCGTCTTACAAGGTTAGAAAGGAGACTCACCTCGCTCTGAAGTCCACTTTTCGGTCCAAGATTATGCTCAAACCCTCAACTCGGTGCGAAACAATCCAAAACCAATGAAATAGTGTATAAACTAATCAATACATGTTTAGCCACGGGATTTTTTGTATTTAGCTATGATATACTTTGTAGCTATATATGCATAATATTGTAGTGACTGATTTTTTTATTACAACTAGAGGGGGACCTATGTATAGTGTTGAGGGGTCACCTGACCCCGTAAATTTCGACAGAAAATCTTGTATATTTATATGTGTACAATTTGAAAATGATTATATAAATAACTTGACACCTTAAACACTAAAAGTCTTTAGGGGCTGCTGGTCAAGCAAAATAATGATGCCTCCATCGTGTTAAAATTCTGGGTCCGCCTCTCAATACAACTATGGGCTCATTTCAAGAAACCTTGGGCGCATGAACATGAACCTGTCAGCGATCTCCTAGATGTTGTTAAGGTTTGATCAATGAGCTCCCTACACGTGAAATACCACGTTGAAACACATTTTGTATGATTTAACACTTTGAAAAACAATTTAGGCCATTAAGCCAACTGCTTTAATTGGAACATCTGGAGTTGGAAGCACATTTACTAAGGAAGTGATTGAGGCCATGACCTCTACAAAAAAGGACTTTTCTTGCGCTAAAGACAAAAATAATTTGCAGAGACCTCTTGTCACACCTCCTTTTTCACACACCCGCAAGGATATATAAGGGAGTTTTTTCAATTTAAGTGACAATCGAAACGGGGTTATTTATTTAAAATTGAGAGTCGCCACTTGGGATAATTTATGGTGTCCCAAGTCACCAGTTTAAATCCCGAATCGAGAAAAGATTGACTCTTTATTTATGGTCCGCGAACACAGAAATCTGGATAAGGAATTCTGTTAACCCGGGAGAAGGTGTTAGGTATTCCCGGGTTCCGTGGTTTTAGCACGGTCGCTCAGCTATTATTATTGGCCTAATTATCTGATTTTTTGCACGTTTTAAACCTATTGTACCTTTTTTAACCTTTAAGCCGCTTTTATTTATTTAAAGAATTAATTCAAGGTTATTTAAATCATATCGCAAGCCACACTACATGAAATGCACCCGTGATTCATGACACGTTCTATTTAACCTTGTTGGAAATTAGAATCGGGTCACATGAAATGCACATCCGGATTGAGATTCACGTATCATAATCATGTCATGGGAACCGTACCCGTAGCCACGATGATTCATTATTAATCGTGCCTAGAGCAACTGCGTATTTGACTAGACTGAGATGTTCTTACGACTCAGTATCAAGTTTGTTTTGGAGGTACTACAGAACGTGGTATTGATAAAGTTTATACAACATGATTTTTTTAAAAAAATTGACTCGGGTTTTGAAAGAACAGTTCCTTAACACGATCATGCTCTATTGTCATTAACCACAATGCGTGAGTCGTCTGGGTGCAACGACATTAGTTCCTTCCTAACCTCCTCGATACTGGCATTATGATCCTTGGTCAATTGCTCAACAAATTTTTTATTTGATCTACCTATATGACCTAATACCGCTCTAGAATCACCAAAGTTAGTACATACAACGTCCTTTTCCAGATAACACCAACCAGACAACAACAACCCTTTGTTTCAATTAATGGTGTAATACCAAATGCTCTTCCCATAAGAGAAAGAAAGGCAACTTCAATATTAATCTATTTACATTTAACTAAATCAAACAGAGATCCAAATAATTTATGCCCTTCTAAAATCTACGAGATTTCAACAGAAGAACTCGATGAACACGCAATCGACACAAAATCTAAACTCGAATTGGGAGAAAGTTAAACATAAAACAACTATTCCAAAGCTCAATCCATCCGAAACAAGTTCGAATAAAGAACAATGATACGGAAACAAACCTGTTAAGCCGAAATTCTCTTCAATTAACAATAAAGAAGCGATGAATACACATGCCTTAGACTCCGATAAATCAGTTGTGAAACAGCAAAAAAGAAACGAACAGAAATTGTGACTGGAACCTCAAGCAACAGTTGGGAACTCGACTCGGCACCAAGACTCTCGAATCGAACGCGAACTCAAATCCAAATTTCAGTCGAATTCCATTTTTATTCACTCTGTTCTCTGTATATGGCTGTGTAAGTGTCTTTGGATGAGGGGTCGTGACTTTGGTTGAAGAAGAAACAGAATGTTCAGGGGTCGTTTGGGGTGTCAGCGGCGGGTCTCAACTCTTGGCATCTAGGTCTATTTTTTCATTTTTTGTTCTCTTTTCGGCTGGTTCCAGCGTTGAAATTTGAAGGGGAAGCTCTGTTTTATCTTTTGTGTTTCTTCGAAGAAGATGAAGAAAGGGGTGGGTGGCCGTGTATGTTGAAGAACGACGGATCCTTAGATCTATGTATTAGGCCTTATTTTTGTCTCCCTTTTCAGCCCCTTTTCTCTTAGCTCTAGGGGTCTAGGTATTTGTAGGGTTTTTTAGGTTAAGGGGTATGGGCCTAGAAATTATGGGCTTGAAAATTATGGGCCATTATGACTAGTTTTGCTTAAAATTAGCTTCATTAACTAAAAATCTATCCATATAAAAATATTACCAAAAATATTAATTAACCCTACTTAAGTAAAAATAATTATAAAAATAAGACTGACTGTTAAAACAAAACTATTTTTTGGTATTTTTCAAGATTAAAAATGACTACAAAATATTAATGAACCTATTTTTGTAATTTTCGTTTTCTTGTAATAAAATAAAAGTAAAAGAGTAAAGATGAGTTGAAATAGCTATATTAGGCCTAAATTAAATATTTATATGCTAAAATATGTAAAATCTCGGGGAGGGTCAAAAATCACATGTCTACAGCTGCCCCTCTTTGACTGGAAATACGAAGTATTTTCAGACAAAGAACGACTAGACAAGTTTTTTTGACCCGACCCTTATTTAGGAAACCAAAACTAAGAGGAAGGACCGAGCCCTGATATCTGAGCCGCCTACATATCCTCAGCTATAAAGGAATCAGACCACGTGTAGTTCAGAAGTAAGAACAGTGATGGAGTATACCGAGGTGGAGAGCCAATCGAGGTGCCGTTCCGCCGAGGTTCCAATACGCGGTCCTGTTATTACATCAAAAATCAAAAATGAAAAAGACTAACTAAACCTGTCAACTATGAGTTACAAGATTCCTATCTATAAGTCTTCTGAAGCTTGATCTTGAGTCTTGAATGGTTCTTCATGTAGAATTTGGATTCGAACCTTGATGCTTGCTAGTTGCAGGTGCTAGTTCATTCTTCTTTGGCTTTTCGGATCAAAACTGGACATATCATGCTTGTGACTTCAGTCATGTCTCGAGTAGCTCACATCTTTCATCAACTTCTGCATTTGGATTCACTTCTTGCCTTTTTTTTAATTCTGGATTGTGAATAACTTCCGTTGATCATCTCAGACTATTGACTCGCATTCTTGCCGCGAGCTTCTTTTGTTGCTGACTTGAATTACATCCTGAAGTGAATTCCCTTATTCTCCAGGTAGGCACCTGATCGCCAATACTCGACCTGTCTTCCTTCGAAACTTGCTGCTTTCCCTTTGTTCTCCAGGTGGGCTCCTGATTGCTGTCTTCCTTTGAACATTGCTGCTTCCTTTCATTCTCCAGGTGGGCTCCTGATTACCAACAATTGCGTTGCTTTTCCTCAAAACTTGAACTGATTCCCTTTGTTCTTCAGGTGGGCTCCTGATTGCTGAAATCCTTTGAACCTTGCTGCTTTCCCTTTGTTCTTCAGGTGGGCTCCTGATTGCTGAAATCCTTTGAACCTTGCTGCTTTCCCTTTGTTCTTCAGGTGGGCTCCTGATTGCTGTCTTCCTTTGAACCTTGCTGCTTTCCTTCGTTCTCCAGGTGGGCTCCTGATTACTAACACTTGTGCCGCTTTTCCTCGAAACTTGAACTGCTTCCCTTTGTTCTTCAGGTGGGCTCTTGATTGTTGAACTCCTTTGAACCTTGCTGCTCCCCTTTGTTCTTCAGGTGGGCGCCTGATTTCCAACACTTGCACTGCTTTTCTTGAAACTTGAAATGCTTCCCTTTGTTCTCCAGGTGGGCTCCTGATTGCCAAACTTTAACTGTATTTCCAGAAACTGCTGCCTGTGAACCTGATTACAACAAAACAAACAAAACAAAAGAAATATTTCTACCCAGTTTGATATCGAGAACATTTGTGAGTGTTAATCGAATCATGTTACCAAATATCTCTATGAATTTGAAAGCTAGATACCATTATCCAGGAGGGTCCTAAAAACTCCTAGTTGAATGACAGTTTTAAAGCTAACTTATGTTTCCTAAATGTATGACTTCCGCTAAATCTCGTTATCTATGAAGGTCTTAAAACTAAATTCCATTATCCAGGAGGGTCCTAAAAGTTAAAATCAAATCTCATCTTAAGCGTGACAACTTTAAGGCTAAATTATATTTCCCTATGGAAGAACTTACACTAAATCCTGTTATCTAATGGAGGTCTTAAATATAAGTCCTATTACTCAGGATAGTCCTGAAAATTTCGAATTAAATCCTATCCTAAGAATGAAAACTTCAAAGCCAACTTATATTTCTTTAGGGTAAGACTTATGCTAGGTCTTGTTACTCATGCATGTTTGAATTTTAATCTAGGTCCCATTATCCAGGAGGGTCCTGAGAACTTCAAATTAAATCCCATTATCCAGGTGGGTCCTGAGAAGCCGAGAATGAACTTACCCGAGCCGCGCTCTCTTCCTAGAGGATCTCTGTAGAACGAACAAAATTCTTTGCCCCTGAATCATGCCTTTCCTCATGGAGGGTTCATGCAGATCGAACAAATTTTTCTTTCTCCTTCTCAAACCGCCTTTGTGCTGACAAAATTTGGGCATGACACTTGAAAAAAATTCAAACTTCCAAGCTTTGATTTGGACACAATTTTCGTCCTTGTTTAAAAAAAAAAACTTGTGAGTTTATAAATATGGTGGTTGGTTTTTGGCCTTGCCTTTGAGGGCGATTGTTCCTTCACTTCCTATGATAACTTTAATTTCAACTTGAAAGACCTTGCTTGTTTATTGATTAACCACTTTCTCTGTCACCCTTATCCCTGAAGATACCTCTGATTCGTTCAAACCCAACATCCTCTATCTATTACATTTTACTCATGATTGGACATTTACCGAACATTTGTATTTCACATGAATCCCAAAACACGTTGATTTTTACCAACTCGATGCGTTTGCTGTTCTTTCCTGACCTTGGCCTTGAGGTCTATTTCTCCTTCACTTGTCATGATAACTTTGACTTCCGCTTGAGATACCTTGCTTGTCATGGGTTAACCACCTTCTCTGTTAACCTTATCAGAGAAAATACCTTTGATCCGTTCACCCAACATACTCTGTCTGTTGCATTGTTCATGAATTGACATATACCAAACCTTTGTATTTCACATGAATCCAAAGCATGTTGATTGTTACCAACTTAGTGCGCACGCTGTTCTTTCCTGACTGATGCCACTTTGATGTGCTAGCCAGATCCTGTTTTGTGCAATTGGAAAGCTGGTGGCAAGTTTTGAAGTCATTTCTCACTTGTTCTGACCAAACAGACTCAGGAAGAGGAAGTAAACAAGACGAAAGGAACAACATAAAGGACAATGGAAAGAGATGATTCCTAGCAAGAAAACTACAAAGTAGAAACTTATCAGATGTGGATACCAACTCTAACGACCATGAAATGCACTTGTGGCCTAATCTGTCAAGCAAGTCTGATGTTCAATTCTTGTTATACCCCTAAACCGTGAAACTGGGCTTCAATGCTCCGATTATCCACTCTAATTCACGATCCTCATTCGACTTGTAGTGCCCGAAGGGTTTTCACCATCAAGCCTCTCTCATTTTGTTCTTTCTCTCAACTCACCGTCGCCTTATGGTGCCTGTGAAGGTTTTCACCAATAAGACTCTCTCATTTTGTTCTTTTCTTCTTATTTCCTCTGATTCTGCATATGACAAGACATTAACCATGGTAAAAACATCATATACTCTTGGCATGTCTAAACTCAGCACTCTCAAAGATTATCTAGGAGGTCTTTTTGAACTGTAATTTGGCTTTTGGACAGGGTTAGAAAGAAAGGATAAAGGCTCAAAATAACTAAGACAACGAGGTTAATTTATTTACAACTCTTGGAATCCATTCTAAAAACTTTGCCCCAATTTCTAAAACAAGGGAATTTGATTCTTCTTCTTTTTTTCTTTTCTTTTGATGGAGTTACTAAGAAAGACTGCCCCACTCTCGATTTCATGGGATTATGAAATATTTTATTTGGTATGACCGAACCGTAAGGTTGCCTACGTATCTTGTGGTGACAAGAATCAGGTCGAACGTAGTTCACAAGACTACTTTTTGTTACTATTTTTATTTTTATTTTTCCCTTTTTTCCTTTTTTTTTCCTTTTTTCTTTATCTCTATTTTTCTCTTTTTTTTTTTTTGAATTTTTCCTTTTGGAATGAACATTCTAAAATAAACTTATGGGGACATGAACTTTTTTTTCCCCGTGTGACTTTAACTTGATTCCAAAAGAGGGGAGGTCAAAGAAATTAGTATATGTTCAAAAGGGTATCGAATGATATAAGTATTTGGGTAGCTGAAAGAGGGCCTCCCAACCCCTGAAAATGCCAAGTACCAACACATGCAACTTGAGGATAAAAATTGAAGATCATGCACAATATTTCTTTTGCGGCTTCGGTATTGATATCATTGATATGCCTTCCACTTTTCTTTAGCACTTTGTCATGTACAAAACCTCCGTTGGGTGATTCCCTCTTCACAATGGATATCCTCCGTCAATTCAGAGAAAACATTCTTGACTTTACCTTGTAACTTGAGATGCACTTGAACTCAAAGTCGCTTGCTTCAAATTGTCCGGGATGCACTCTCCTTTAACAAATTCTTGTCACCATATTAACTTCCCAAATTATCTGCCCCAATTTCACATGGTTTGGGCTTCAAATGTTCTCAAAATGTCCAAATCTGTACCTATTTCCCTCAAGTGTCCCTATCATCTTCAAAATTGTTTCATTGCCTCGTGATTAAACTAACTTTTAAGACGAGGCCTAGAATTATGCGTGCATGTCATGTCACCAGAACCAGCATGAAGAGAACTATAAAAGGAGAAGAGAACTAAACAAAAATGACTAGAAATAACAGAAAACAAAAAATTGTATTAGACAAACGGTGAAGGGGTTTTAACAACAAAACAAGCACTAAATTGGGGTTACAACCCTGAAAAAAACCTAGATAGCACTAAACAAGTTACTATGACTAAACAAACCAGGCAAAATAAAAGGATAGAAGGGTTTGAGCCACAAGACATTATTCGTATTACAACCCTGAAATAAACCGGACAACAGAAATGTCAACAAAATAAACCACAAATACT